GGTTATTATATGTTTTGGGCGCGTTAGTCATTTATTTGGATACGTGTAATTTTAGACTGTAATACGTTGGATCCATAAACATGTGAGTCAGTCATATTGTTATTTGAGAAGTCGGTATTGTGGAGAGGAACCCATGTGGGTTGGATTTTGAGATCGTAGTTGGTATTGCAAAGAGGAATTGGTTTGGGTTGGACTTCAAAACTGTGGGTATTGCGGAGGTGATCTTTTGTCGAGTCAGACTCCGAGACCCTGTGTATTACAGTGATGAACTCGTGAGGATTCAGGCATCAGTACCTATATATTGAGGCTTCGACCTAGTAGAGTTTACATTAAGTTAACGGGGTATTTTGGGGATGAATTCGTGTAGAGTCGGACCCTAGGACCATTGGCTTGTAGGTGCAATTCTATGGTGTGTAAGTAGGCATTAGGGTCGGTAATGCAGAGATGAACTCATATTGGTTGGGTTTCGGGATATTAGGTATTGTAGTAGAAACTTGAAAGGGAGTTAGACATCGGGACCGTGATCTTAGGGCACTACTTAATAACGTTGAAACATGGTTTACTTTGTGTTACGCCATTGTCGACGAAAACATGTCTCCCCCGTCATCGAAAGATGTTGCTTGGGTATCGGGTCTATTCGTGATTTCGAGGATTTTGGGGTACAAAGTATTATCTTATTACATGCATTTTACATAATGAGTCTTATTCACTTATTCTGAAGGGTGAGTTTAGATGAGGGTTTGATTTAAAGAACATTTACTTATCATATTCATTTTAGAAAAGGTATGTCTTTGTGAATATATTCCTTTTGATTTTAAATGCTATTTTAAAAGGAATTATCGGGATAAAGGGAAACTCTTTGGATTTTACTGTTTTATGTTTATGAGATAAACTGTTTTAACTCAGTCGGCGCTAAGCCTAACACTTTTTCTTATCGATATGTATATCAGGTCTTAGAGAAATCTGAGTTGCATATGGATCTTTGTAGAGGTTCCGATAGGATGGCTTAGAGATGTCATCCGCTTTTGAAGATAGCAAATTTTATGCTATTAGTAACACCCAAATCATTCTAATTCTATTTGGGAATTACATAATCCTTTTAGAACTCTAATATGTAACTTCATGTAATTTTCGTATTAAAGTTACTTTGTATTGAAAGATTTTAAATTTTTTAAAATTTCTGCTATTTTCTAAATTTTGGGGTGTTACAATATTTATCGGAGATGGGAAAGTTACATATTTTTTGTTTAACAAATGTGTGGGTAACTCAGGTTTTCTAATTTTTTTTCATTTGAAATGCAACCCTGATGTCTAATTTTGCGATCGTGGCACCTGTACTGACAGGCTGTGGGTGTGAAATTACACATGGGTTCGTCCTCCTAGGTGGAGAGTTTCAAGTGATATTACTGACTTAATCTTTTTTGTTGCATAATGTATCTTTTAAAGTTTCCGGTAGGGATTTCGCATGTTGGTTCCTTACAATGAATAGATGTTTTCGCTACTTTATCTCTTTGCCATATGGTGGACAAATTCTTTCTGCAATCTACTCCTAATGAAAAATCCACATTGTGGAACAAGCTAATTCTTAGAAAAGTGAACATTTTTATTTGGAGGGCACTCCGTAACAGATTGCTAGTTCTTGAAGAGCTCAACAAAAGAGGAATTGATCTCGATTCAATGCTTTGTCAATTTTGTAGCGATCATGTCGAATCAATGGATCAGTCTACTTGGTTGCAAGGTCTCCTCACGTTATTGAATAACATCTTAAAAAGGTGGAATATCAACTTCGTTCTACCTTCTTCCTTCTCCGAGTTATTGATTTACGATGGTGGAAGGCAAATTGTGGGAACGTTGAAGGGTGTATGGCAAATGGTTCTTTTGATTGCGACTTATATACTTTGAAAATCCAGGAATGCTTGTATCTTCAAGGGGGTAAATGCTTGTGGTCGGTGACATCCGGTTTCAATTGTTCTATTGGATTGTTTCTACGCTCAAAGATTGGTTTTTTTTTTCTTTCCGAAGATGGTGTTGTTTAGGTTATGTTCTTTTGCTGCTTCCAGAGGTTCTGTTGTTCTTTCCTTTTTGGGTTTTGCTTGTTTCCCTCTTTGGTATATGCTCCTCGCAACTTTCTTTAGTAGGGCTCTTTTTTTGGCCTTTTTTAATGTTAAATACCCTATCAAAAAATACTCAAACTTGGGTTTTCTTCTAAAATTGCATTTTAATCTTTTTACGTGTAAGAGGTTTTTCTAATAAATTATGGCTGGAAATTTGGAATAAGATGGTTGAAGTTGATTACAGAAATAAGATGACTTATCAACTATTTCCATTTATTTTTAAAAAAATCACGAAAAAAAAACTTGACTTGCTAACACAATGAACCATTAAGTTAATTAAAAAGTCGTTACCGAACACTTATTAATTAAGTACTTACCGGCAATAGTCATCACTCTCATTTACCTTATCGGATAATATTATAAACCAAATAAAAATGGACTGTTGCTAAACGTCTTTTACTCTGTAAATGCTAACCGAATGAACAACTTCGTTAAAAAATTAATTTCTAAGTCTATTTCAATTTCCTTTTATGGGGTCAAAAATGAAAACAAATATATTATATTCTTAGGGTAAAAAGTTGATGGACCCATTTGCCCCTACTTATTTAACAGAAAATATGGGGTAAACGCGTAAAATCATCAAAGATTTTATTAACATGTTATAGTATATTATTTATATTATATTATATAATATTTTGATAAAAACTCTTAAAAACCATTTTTTATGCATGAAATACTGTTTATTGATGCATATTACTTAAAATTCAAGATTACAAGTAAATTATACGTAAGTACAACTTATTAAAGCTTTATATTTGAATTTGTGTAACTAACTGCAGATAAACATAATCAAATAGAGAATAAACATTTCATTTTAAATATAAAAAATCTAAAATATAATTAGTATAATTATTGAGTTCTAACAAAATATTTAATTATTTTCTTTATAAAAAATTATATTATTAAACCAAAAATAAAAAAATGAATTATATTATTAAACAAAAAATTAAAAAAAAAATGAATTAAAGAAACACACATAAAAAAGAAATTTTAAATAGTTAGTTTGGTATTTATATCAATATTTTTTTTCCAATTTTTTATGATATATCTTCATATTTATATTTTATTCAAAAATAAAACCATTATCGTTTTCCCAAAACCATTTAAATTCATTCACTTTTATTTTCTTCATAATCTAATTTTCTTTATTAAAAATATAACAAAAATTGTAGTCATTAAATTCAATTCGTGTATGAGGCCATGTTTGCAACCATGGAGCTCTTAATGTTTCAAGCTAAATCTAGAAACTTTGACATCTTAACCTCTTTTTGTTTTTTTCTTTTTTTTTTCAACATTTTAAATATAATATATTTATTAAATAAAATCCACATGTGAAGAAAATGTAACGATATATTTACACACATGTATTATTATTAAAAATTATTTTACAATTTATAATCGATTTATAATATATATTGTTAATAATTATTAACAAAAGTTTCTTATTGTTTTAATTGATCTAAAGTTGTATTTTAATGAATTTGCTTTATAAAATAGTTTTAGGAATTTCATTCACATTTTAATATACAAAAAATGTTAATGGCACCCCAAACGTATATCCCTACAAATGTTTAGGGTTTGAATTTTTTTTTTAACCTGGTTATACAAGCCGTTATATAAGCCGACTAATCCTCAAGCGACCACCCGTTTCGTGGGTAGGTTGGAGTCACCACATCTGAACCTCTGTGGCCACAAGGAGATTTTTATTCCTCATTGGATTCGAACCTAAGACCTTCAGACACTTTTGACCTTTGGAACCCAAGCTCATACCAATAAGACACCACCCTGTGGTTTTCTGTCTCATGTTGTCCCACCTTGTCCCAGTTCTTGTCCATGTCCCATGTCGCGTCAAACGTGGGACAGTGAGTTTTTGTTCTGTCCCATGCTGCGCCAAATATGAGACAGTGGGTTTTGTCCCGTCCTATCCTATCCCGTCCCATGTATCAAACGCAGCCTTAATATTTATAAAAACTAAAGAAAGAAAAAACATTTTAAGTTAACAAAAAAACAAAGAAAAGATGGTTATTTGGTGGTTTGCTACTTTATTTATTGATTTTGGCATTTTGCATACATGGTGACGAAAAAAGATGGAATTTAAATAGTGTTTGATATTTTTATTTATTTATTAAGAAGACTAAACTATCCTTTAACTTGTAATGCATCATTTATGTTGAAATGAACAAGATGAGATGGTGTTTAAGGGTATTTTAGTCTTATTATCACATTAATATTAGAAATTTAGATAGAATTAAAATTCACGACCACTCATGTGAGTGCATCTTAATACATTCATCATTAAATTAATTAAACATAAAAATTAAAATCAATTAAACAAAAATTTCAAAATGAATAAACGAAAAATACATCTAAAATATATAAAACAAATTATGAAATTCAATTTCACTGATGGTTACAAAAATAATTTTACTCAAGTATGATAATATAATGAGTTAACAAGTTACTGATAAACAATTGTGTCATGAATAATTTTTGTTCCATAAGGTTCATTTCTATTCAAAACATATTTAAGATTCATTATTAAATGGTCAGATTAATTTAAACATTTTAAATGTTATACTTACGTATGCTTTCTTGGTCTCTGGAAAATATAAAGATTTAAAGTTATATATATATATATATATATATATATATATATATATATATATATATTCTTTTGGGATCTTAAAAAAGATTTTTCAACGGGGCATAAGAAAGCACTATGGTTGAACTTTCTATTCTACATGCTTTTGGCTTTTGTTTTTCGTTGGTACCTCACAACCTCTTGTCCCCATTGTGAAGAAAACCCCAAAAGCAAAAGCAAAAGTTTCAAAAAGAAACCAACAACTTCTACTTAAAACCCCTTCACTCTACTTGCAAAACACACACATACTCTCTACCTCTTTTTGCTCTTATCAACATGGAAGATGAATGTAGCCCTTTCAATTGGGACTGTTACTACCAAGAAGAGGTATAGGCACTTGTCGGGAAGTTTCTTGATTATGATTTAAGATTTTTCACCAAATCAAAGCGTTTTGATTGGTTTTGTGTTTAATGTTGATTTTTTTTTGGTTGTTCTGTCGAGTAGGCACAAGGAATTGAAGAGTTGAAGCACACTTTGTTGTACACATTGGAGTTGGAAACCACAATTGCTTGTGCCCATGAAGAGATTGCAAGAAAAGGAGATGAAGTTTTGCATTTCAAATGTCTTTTGTCGAAGACCATTAAGGAGAGAGATGAAGCCCAATTGAAGTGTCAAGGGTTAGTTATGGAAAACCTCATTCTCCAACAAAAGGTTCAAGAATTTGAAGCTAATGCTACATCTTTTGTTAGAAACACTCCCACTAGTTACCTAGAAGATGACCCTGTTTTAGGGGTGGATTCATCTTCGGGTTCTGATGAAGACTTTGTTGGAGCACAAGGAATGGACAAAGTGCAACTACCGCTGACACAACCACCAGAACCGGAAGTCATTGATAATGTAGTATTGAAAAAGGGGTTGCCTGAGAATGGCAAGTTTTTACAGGCGGTGGTGGAAGCAGGTCCATTACTCCAAACCCTTCTTCTAGCGGGCCCGCTTCCACAGTGGCAACACCCACCACCACAACTCAATTCAATTGAGATCCCACCTGTGACCATTCCCTCAACTTCCACCACCACAACTCGGATGCTCCTCCACCAAGATTCTTGTGTTAGCACAATCATTGGTGGTGGCAGCCACAATAACAATGGTGGTGGAGGATTGATCACTAGGAAAAGGTGTTTAGAGCAAAGTTGTGAAGCACTTGACTATGATTCTAGTCCCACCACCAACACCAACGCCAAGAACCAAAAGGTGGTTCACCAATCACCATTGACCAACATATAGTGACTAGTGTTTTGATTCCTTCCAACCATAATTTAGCTACAAAAATTTGTCAATTTCCATCCTTTTCATGAGGCTTGGAAAAGTTTATTAGGATGAAAGGGACGAGTATCATGAACCCTTTGCTTTCCCCCTTTAGAATTTGTGTACATTAATTACTTTTTCCCTTAGAACTTAAGTATCCTAACTATTATTAGCAAAAAAAGAGAGAGGGCACAATCAAACCCTTTGAGCCTCTATGTTTGATTGAGGGCTTTCCTTTTTTTTTTTATCATTCTATTTTGCTATCAAATCGCTACTTTCAAGTCTGATTGAAATTGATATTTTTGACATTCGTAGTATGCAGTTAGAATCCAAGTCATCTCAAGCGATATGAGATGTCTTATCCACATTTTACGCTTGTTTTTTTCCTTTTTCGGTATTGTTTTACTCTCCTTTCACATATACAGTGTGAATTTAGGCGAGTCTCTTGTATACTCCAGAATGATGGAGAATTGTTTCTATGAATGAAAAAACCCTTTTGATTTACGTTACTTTTTAATGAATTTGGGCGAGGTCGTTTGAATACTCCAGAACGACAATAATTATACATAAAACAATACTTATATATATATATACATATATATATATATATATGGTTTTATGTATGATTTTGAAAAAGGAAAATATGATTGTTGTGCTTTAACTTTACACCTTAGATGTGGTTATGGTATATATTTTAATGAATGTGAAAGGTGTGGATTGGGTAGTAGAGTTTTTGGTGGATGTGGGGCTCTTCTCCTGAGCAGTTGCATATCATTACTCCTGCTTTTCCATTTTTTATTTTTTATTCTTTTTATTTATTTATTTTCCTTATTAAATAATTATTGTAATCATTGAAATACAATAAAATATATCTTTTTCATAAACAATTATATTTTTGTTCCTTGTAGTTGTCCAACGGATTAGTCAGTACGTATAAAATGACTTGAAACCCACCGTTACCTAAAAAAATGTTCATTGGCGTATTTTGTTCTTTTATGCATCTTAACAAAATATAAACTTATGGGCCGTTTACTAAATACTTATCTTGGTAAGTGTTTATCGGTTCAATTATCTTACGGAATGAACATAACAAATACCTAAAACTTACCGGGTAAGAGGAAAGGCAATAGATCGATGGTCTTACCCGGTAAGTGATGATGGTGACTCTTACCCGGTAAGCGCTTACCGAGTTATGAACGCTTACCATCAAACAATTTTGACGGCCAAGAATGTTACTCCATAAGGTAAGTGAAAATGGTGACCCTATAGTCTGTTTTAGAAAATATATATTTAAATAACCGTTAATTAATTATTTCGTAACTGTTTTTATTAGAATTGTTTTTAACATTTTCTAATTTTAATTTACCTTAAAAAGGTATAAATTATATATTTAGAAATATATACAACGGTTGACATAAATTTATTAGAGAATCTTTGTGTTAATTGAGTGAATCAATGATCCATGGTGTGTGTCTGCCATTAAAATGACATCTATAACCGACTCACTCATTCCTTCAACTATTGCTCCTAATTCATTATATGCACCTTTCACTCCATGAATTAAATAAACCCTAAAATGGTAATTCAACTATTTTATGTGTTCTTTTAGATATTTATAAAGACATTGGAACATGATATATAAGGGGTGTTTGGGATTGTTTATAAAAGCTGTTTTTTAACTTATTTCAGTCTGGCATCGATGATAAGTTGTTTTCTGGTGTTTGGATAAGAAAAAAAAACTGCTTATATCGATGTCAAACCGGTAATAAGCTGTTTTTGATAAGTTAATCCTTCATGACTATGAAAAACTGTTTATTACCAGTTTACAATTTTAACCATGTTTTATTTAACTCCGGTTTGATACCACATAAGTTAATAAATATTTTTACAAAAAAACATAAATTGTTTTAAATAAGCAATCCCAAACACCCCCATAATAGTTGTTGAAATCGGTTAGCTAGAGATGTTTGCAAAGACATAATAGATTGGGTCTGGAGAGAATATTTTGGCGTACAACAACATGTGATAAACGACTAGTATAAAACCAATATAAATGAATATGTACCTGTAGTTGTATTAAAAGCTTATTATAATAAAGAAACCGTACAATTAAAAAAAATATGGTGATTTGAGACAGGATTTTCGTGTTGTCAACTTCGAAGTCGTCGTGCAGCTTGAGGTAAGTGTTAGGGCAGGGCAGGGGTGTTGTTTGGCACACGGAAATTGGTTTTTGCAAAAAATTTACTTCACGTATAAACAATACTGTCGAAATTTATAAGAACGAGAGGAAGAGAAAACAAACATGTTGAAGTAAAATGATTCACCAACTTGGCTAATTTATTTTTCTTGAGCCCACCCCAGGACATACCAATCGACTCGGATCTTTTTTAGTGAATAAACAAAAATCATTTTCTATAAAATATGGGTACATACTTTCCTATTGATAAAAGCTTGAATGGATGTTACAGACACTCAAAATAAATATCACTTACAAAGATATGAATATCAATAATAAACAAAAGGGATTCAAATATCAAGATTAGATGAGTGTTTGTGTGTTTGTGTGTTTGAAACACCCATAATTTTCAAGAAAAACAGTCGGGCAGCAGTCAAGAGACAGTCAGAGAACGGTCGAGAAATGGATGGGGAAACTGTAGGAGAACGACCAAGGAAAAACATTCGAGGAACAACCGGGGAAACGGTCTGGGAAAGGTCGAGGAACTGGGCGGGGAAATGGTCGAGTAATGGCCAGGAAAACGATCAAGGAACGGTCGAGAAAATGGTCTGGAAAGGCAGGCACGTGGCACAACACGATGTGGGAATGCGGTGTGAAACGAATGGGAGCACGACATGACATGACATGACCCACGAACTAAGCCGCGAGAAGCATTTGAAAGTTGTAAAAATGCCAATTTTAGGGGTTTTTTTTTTCTTTTGGTCATAACTTCTTCATTTCTTATCCGATTTTGATGATTCTTCAAGCTATTGACTTGATTTTTGAAGCTCTTCAAGGGGAGATCAAAGAGGGTTAAATTTGTTGTTTATTATGGAGATCATAGTGGTGAAAGGTGAGTTCTAGATCTCTATTTTTGACCTAGGGTTTGTGCACTTTGCATCCTCAAACCTTTATCCTTCTTTATGGTAATTTTACTAAAGATTGAGAGCAGATGAGATGTTCTTGTGAGCGTTGTATCATGGATCTAGAAGTCTATCTTGGGGATTTGAAGTCTTCACTAATGGAAGCTAAAGCTTTAGGGTTTGGAATTTTGGTTTAACCTAACCTAGTAAGGTGAGTTTAAGTTGCTTTGTGAAAACTTTATACATGCAAAAAAAAATGTATATTTTGGAGTCTTAAAGTGTTTTCCTTGATATTTATCAAATGTGTTGATTATTTGATGAAGTTTGAAATTAGGTAAATTTGGTTCAATAAATCTTGAAAAATGTGTTATTTGAGATATTTGAGTATTTTGATAAATAAATCATAAGAGTGTGTTCTTTAATGATTTATTGTATAAATGAAGCTTATTTGACGGTAATGCACTTTTAGTGTATTTAAGTTAATAAGTCGTTTTAGAAAATGCATTTTTATTGACTTGTGATGGCTTTTATTGAGTAATCTCATAAATGTGGATTGTATTGGTCATTTGTGGCTCAAATGAGATTTGGGGATGATTGTTCGCTTTAAATTGCTTCATGTTAAACTTTGGACATGATTTGCATATATTGCATATTTATTTGAGAATTACATGTTTTGAGTGAGTTGGTCATTAGGTTGGAGTCATGTAATTAGAGTATAACGGATTGGATCCATAGTTATGTGAGTCAGTCGTTTGATGAGTGAGGAGTCTTGATGTTCTCACTGAGACCAGTGCTCGAGTAAGCATGGTGGTCGTGTCGGTATTGCGGAGAGAGCCCATGTAGGCTTGAACTCTGAGACGATGGGTATTGCAGAGAGAGATTCATGTAGAGTTAGAATCCGGAGCCTATAAGTTGTCGATTTCATTTGGTATTGCGGAGGTAAATTCGCATAGATTCGGACTCTAGGACCAATGGGTCAATGTTTATTGTTTTAAGTGAGAAATTTTTATGTTCTCACTATAATTAATAGTGAGTGGTTACCAATTCATAGTTTTGAGGGCTTGCGATGGTACCGTATTGGGTCGCATACAGAGCTAGTAGCCTGCCGTGATGCTCTATTAAGTGGTTACAGGGCTAAGTCTAGCAATGGTGCTCGTTGGAGCCATATACAAAGACCGGTGACTTTTATGATGAAAATCATCTAGAGGACGAGTAGGAATCTTGGCTGCCATTGGGGCTTGCGATGTTACTTGTTGGAGTCGTATACGAAGCTTGGGTCTTATGGTGGTACTCAGTAGAGTCGTAGACGGATCCCAATAACCTTGAGAGAAAATTTAGTATTTGGATATTAGAGTTCTTATCCATATTTTATTGGGTTTGGATATTAGAGTTCTTATCCATGTTTTCAGTATTTGAAATTTTGAATATTAAACTTTATTTGCAATTTGAGCATGTATTCGGTTTTGGTTCCATGTTAAATGAGTGCTTTGATTCACGAGTTTTCATTAAGAAAATGGTGAGTTTTAGAAAAGATGTCGCTTTTATATTTAATACATTTGATTTTAGAAATTGTTATTTAAATAGTATCCTTTCGATTTTACATTTTTATAAATGATGAACCTACTTGAATTCATTAGGCGTTAAGCCTAACTCTTTTATTTATCGGCATTTGCATAAGGTCCTCGTTGGAGAATGGTACTAGCGACATTGTGATAACGTTGAGTGCTAGTTAGAAGCACGAGAAAGATTTAGCTACTCAGGGATGTCTTCTGTATATGGAGATAGTGACTATTATTGGATATTAGTATCACAAGTCCATAACCTAGACTTTATATAAGGTTTGATTTATCTTTTCTTGGTGTCAAATCTTATATGGCCATTATAGGTAATCAAGTGTTGATCTATCGAGAGAAATTTATTCCTTATTTGATGTTTTTTCGAAATTTTTTTTAAAATTAGTCGCTATTTCCAGATTTAAGGTTGTTACAGTGATTATTTTGTTTCACTATATATCCATGGGTGTAGTCACATGACAAGAAGTATTTTCAAAGTATACAGGATTATATGAGAAAATTTTCCCTTATGCTATTTAATTTATCGTTTAAAAGATGTTGACTTCCACATACTCGAAAACGAACATGAATGGTGTTGAACACTCAGTTTAAGTTCCAGTATATATTAATCTAAATTTTGTTGAGTTGTAAGATACGGAGTTTGAAAAGACATTTGTATTATACAGTCTCTACACAAATATACGCCAAAAGAATTAAAACATTACATCCAAGAAAATCAGTATGTAGAAAATAAAACGTTTCTAAACTAGCACTTAAAACCTCTTCATTTCAATCCTTCTACTACTACCAAGATTTATATATGTGCATTCTTGGTGTTACTTTACCAGCTTCGTAACTTCATAACAGACACACACTCA